ATCTTAAAATTATTTTACTAGCTACATAGTTTATCATTTTTTTAAAATTAAAATTATATAGAGAAGATGCTAAGCATATATTCAAAGGTATATGAGAAAGACAACATAACAACACTATGACTAGTGAATCGAGTTTGTCGTTGTCCAATTAAATTCATCGACTATTCCTAGCATGTGGATTCAACTCAATTGGACCCAATCCTTAATGTTTTTTTATTTTTTGTTCAATTTAAACATTTTAAAAGTCCATTTATCAGATTTCTTTTCTTTGTAATAAAATTAAGTGCATATCAATATTAAACATATCATGCTTCTATTAATACTATCTTTAAAAATAAATATTTTATTTTAAAAATATTATTATTCAATAATAAATATCTATATTTAACAACAATTAGTCTTACTATTACCACTTTAAAAATCATCTACAAACTCTTACTTTACCACTTTCAAAAATCATTACTCAAATCATCTACAAACTCAATTAATACTTAATTGGCATTTCGAAAGTAGTCCAATTTGATATGAGATTCATTTTCGAAATTAGTCCAATTTAATAGTACGACTGTACGAGATTCATTCATTTTCCAATTATAAGTCTTCTGTCAGAGTCATATACTCTTTTTTTTTTTTTGGTACAGGGACCTTCCGGTTTTCGGATCCACAGGGAAACCGACTAATCCGAAATCGAGCCGGGTAGAACCACAAGGGCGGCAAAGCTCTCCCTCAAGAGTTTTTAACACTGATGCATTCCCAGGACTCGAACACGAGACCATTGGTTAAGTTGGAAGAGACCCAAGTCATCTCATCTAAATAAGAATAACAATAATTGAAACAAAAATAGATCATGTTACAGTTACGGTAAGTCTTCTGTTTGGATGGTCACTCTCTTATGAAAGATTGTTACCCGTTATGGAACCATTCCGTCGGAGTTTGTAACCATTAGATCAACTATCTCAGATAGTTACCTAATGATCTAACGGTCACAAACTCCGACGGAATAGTTATGTAACGAGACCTTAGCATTTTCCCACTCTTATAACAAATACGAGGAAAAACAATAATTGAAACGAAAAATTAAAAATTAAAATAACTGAAGAAAAGACAAAGGAGAAGAATATATGAAACCAAGCGAAATTCTTCAAAAGTTTTGCGGTAATATGACTATATGAGAGCACATCACCACCTCAGAGACAATCATAAAAACACAATGGTCAAAGATGACCCTCATGCTATCCTCGTGTACCTAGCAACACAGATTAATTATAAATTTACTACAGAAATTGCTCCAACAAAGTTGAATCTAATATCAATCATAATTTACATGCCAAAAAAAATAAATAAATAAATAAATCAAGGTTGACACCACTGAAACCCTTAATAACCACGAGAAATAAAATATTAACAATACTCATTTACTACAACAATACAATATCGAACTCACATGGTACACATAATTAAGGGACTTTGACAAAATACCATATGTACCCAAATCCAAAACGTAAAAAAGTCCCCCAAACAACCACACTCCCCTTCACCAACCCACCAAACAGGAAAACGACGTGCAAACCACCCGCCCGAACAAAGGTCTCCAAATCAATAAACACCTGACTAGAGGAGAAAGAAAAGCTCTGCCATTGCCATGCGAAAGAGCACAAAAGGAGATTATGTAAATACGTTTAAATACGCATGTTGGATCTTAACGAGTTTTTATAGGGGAATTGCAATTAAGACAAGACTTCCTTTTTACAGAGGGGCTGGGGGCTCAGGTTTGATGAGGACTTGAGTCATCCGTTTGGTTAATGGGATAGATGAGAGCCGCAAGTGAAATAGGCATGATGCAGAGTGATTTCGACTGAAGGAATTGCATTGCAGCCCCCACATCCTCTTCCATGAGTTTAGCCACCTCACTCTCTGTTTCCTCATTCGACCACTTTTCCCACGCGTGCTGGTTTTCAATGGTATCATCCTAAAAGTAAAACGAGAGAGGGTTTTTGTGGTGTGAACATAAAATAGGAAGCAACATGCACAAATAGAGTGGTTGAAAAGCTGCAATTAGAAGTGTAATGAAATACTTACCTCAATGGGCTGAAAGGGTATATCAGCAACAAGTTGAGCCACTGCACCAGCACCACCAAGCCGACTCATACTCAAAACCTATGAATATTTATTTGTTAGTTCAGAGAGTGAAAGAGAAAGAGAAAAAAAGACCAAGGGGAATGATTCTTGGATACATGGATCGGATATTCAATCAACTGGCACAACTCGACTTAGAGTGTCTTTGAGAAAAATTCAAAAATCTCTTCTTTTTTCAGCAAAAAGATGATAACGACCCATAGAAGACGGGTTCACAACAGCATAATTTTTCCGACATCAAAATTAGAAAATGCTTGAAGAATTCAAATACTAGATAAGCAAAGCAACCAGAAATTCAAGAGGTTGGGGAACCAGAAATTAAATAGTTTGATGACTTTCTATAATGGCAGGTCAACAGATCCCAACAGTATTTTAAGTCATACTCGTACATGCTATTATACAAATACTTCACTCATGAAAATAGTAGATAAGCAATCTAACCTTGACTTGAAGCCTCAAGAACTTCACATAGTCCAGTATCTCATCAAGCATAGCAGCCCTATCAGTCTGCAAACAAAGGAAATGCCAGCTAATTAATTCAACATCAATAGAAAACCACGTAAAACAAACTCAATCATGTTCCCTTGTTAATCTATCAATGGCCTCCATGGGTTACTTTTATGAGCTAAACACATTTTATATAAGAAACCAAGGTCTGTTAGAATAGTCATTATCCTGTTATTCCACATCTCAATACCACACATCTCATCAAAAGTAGACCAAAACAACAACTCCAAACAAAGAGTAATTGCAAACAACCTAAAACCAAGAGAGTTCTGCAATATACATATAGGTATACTTGGTTTATTTCTGTCATATCGCTAGGCTAATTCACATAGAGCATAAAACGATCAGGATAGTGGGAATGGATAAAGAATGTGTTTATATATTTTGATATAGACGTGTGTGTATGAAGGTTTCATATACTCAAGAGCACTGTCAATAGGTACGTCATACTGTTTTTTTTACCCTTCCTCTGGGTCAAAATTTATTGTTTTCACTGTTTTTTCTCCAGCGACCCAAACATAGTGCAGTAATGTAAAAAGTAACATGCTGACCCCTTCTCCATTTCATGTTTTACAAATCGCACAGCTTTTTTTTTTTCATATTAAGCCCTCAAAAAGAGATATACTGAGAAGTTCCATTTGGAGAAACCAAGAAAGTCATTCAAGCACTGAAGTCACCAGGAATGCCACTCGAGCACCAGAGGCAAGCCCGTCAGCAACATACGTGACTCAATACCTGAAATCATGACTTGTTTTCGACAGTTCAAAGTGCTTATTACACCTAAAACGTAAAACAAAAAAAAAAGGAAAATTGCCAAACAAATAAGGTAAAGTAACAGTTTGATTAAAAGGTGTAGAACCTTGTTGCAGCTGGGAACAAGTTCTTGCAGGGCCTTGATCCTCTCTGATATCCTTTCTCTACGCAACTGTATAAAGATACATCAGTTTATTTAGATGTATTAGTGATACGAGTATTAGAAATAGTTATTTCCCCTCAGAAGGGTATATAGGTAGCTTTTCACAAATAGTATACCCGCTCAGCGATACTATGGGGATCTGTTGCTTGGCCTCTTCTTGCCCGAACCCTAGGCCTGATGACTGGTGGGTGTGGCACAGCGACAGCCGTGCTTGCAGTTGGCACACCTTGGAAGGCCTGCAGAAGTAGTTACAAATACTTAGTGCTTCACAAAGAAAAATATATCAAATAAATAATGCCTCTTTAAAGAAGCAAGATACACGACACTAAAACATGGGGACTACTCCAAATATCATAAGGGCACAGAAATGAGCAAACTAAAAAACTCTCGTCAAACAATTAAATGTATACAATTCGCTTTGATTTTTTATCTTACTCCAACATAGTTTTACATATATTGATCTACAAGAGGAAAGTTTAGAGTTCACAAGTTTCACTAATTCATCTTGCATTCTTATCTACCAGCCAATCGAACAAGGGATCTTTAATCCTAATAAATTAAACAAACACTAGGTCTGAGAACAAAGAAACAAATTCCTTGTAATTCAGCCCCTTATTCACTTTTGGGAGTAAGTGGGAGGATGTGGCCCTCACATCCAGATAGCACGACTTCAACATAGGAATATAAGCAACAGAACAAAGGCAATGAAGCCCCGAATAACCTCTTAAAGTAGAACAGTACTACAAATTTAGTTAGGTTGACTTATACAGTTAAATTTCTATCATCAATTAGAACAAATGGGTGTTAGGTCTAGTTGATGTTAGACTGTAAGTAAAGCTTATTTAGAACAACTTAACAAGGGATCATATTTTAAAAACAAAATCAAATCCTTAGTTATTAAGTGGCCAAAAATACTTACGAGTTTGTTGGGACTTTTTCGAGCTAAGATCAGAATTTTTTCTGAAAATCTAAAACGCTCAGCTCACAACACTAAGTGTATAAGAATGTCTTCCAGATCCATGACACCATAGAAATGTATAAAATGGATAATGTACATAAGCGCGTGAGTCAATAATTCATCAATCTTGCAGTAATCATCCTGCATAGAATTTCCACTAAACAGATTATGCAGAGGAAATCACCCATCCAAACATCCATTTGCCCAACTCTGAATCAATATTCTATCAAGATCTCATAACAGTTCTCAATAACTATCCATCTCTTCCAGGGAAAGAATCTGACCATAAGCAAGCATGAGTTGCACTCAAATCACCTAAAAAAAAAACCGAAAACTGTACTACTATGTGCATAATTAAGTTCGACCTGTTGAACTTGAGGCGCAGGGTGGCGAAATGCATGAGACTGTAAATGATCAAACACTGGATACAAGCTCCCTATACTATTATTGGCTGCTTCCCTTTCCTGCAAAAACATGATATATGCACACAACTGAGAAAAATATCAATACCCCTTTACAGAAATCACACAACAACAGCATGATCCAGACTCAGAATGTGAAACCACTAGAACCGCCAACTTTCAATCGACTTTCCTTTTTTAACTTTCAATGGACTTTAAGACCTTAAGCTAAACCAAGAGACCAAACACGCTAAACAGTTCAAGAATAAAGCTAAATAGTTCAATCACAACGCTAAATAGTTCGATGTTCAACCATAGGTATTTGCTTTTTTCCTTTCATCTCTCTTTTGGCTGCGGGTGTATAATAACAGTTAAATTGACCTAGGGCGCTTCTCGTTTAATTCACAGCCTCGCATTTGCATGACAAAACGGTGAAAAATATAAACAGTGAAAAAA